CTGAGGGGCAGTTGAGGATGCGCACCTCCCCAAAATTCCCGGGAGTGACTCACGGAGATCCTGTACTTCCACACAGCCGTATTTATTGCCTGGTCGCTACGGTCTGTTAATTTTCCTCGGCCAAGAGCTTCTGGGGTGAGACATCCCGCCGGAAGGCTGGGATCCTGCTCACAAATACAAATAGGCACGAAACCGCCAACACCCAACGCTGCAGGGAGGGACACTGCAGGCTGCGGTCGAGGGCTGAGCCGCGCAGTCGGAGAACGCCTGCCGTTCCCTTCCAAACTCTCCCCTTCAATAGGATGTGCAGGATTCACTGCACTTCATAAATGCGTATCAAGATCCAAGCAGGAAAGCACTGCTGCTGGTGTGGGCTGTCAGGGATCCACCGCTGGGATGTGGATCCACCATCCGTACCAGCCCTGGAGCATCTCACCAGGCAGAGCCGCGCTCGTTTCTGATCCACGTCATTCGGTGGAAACAAGCTGCGTGTTTTCCCGAGTATCCACGCTCGCCGAGGGATGCCAGTGACAGAGGTGGGCGGGAGAGGACACACTGGTGCACAGGGAATGTGAATCTCCCCAAAATCTCCTGGGAAGTTGCCTGATGGAGATTCTGCGGGTGCAGAACGTGGTGCCCATGCTGCAGGCGGTGCCGGTACACGCACCACGGAAAAGCCGTGGCGTCAGCAAGAGGCAGAAGCAGAGCTGGAGGGCACAGAGGGCTGACGGTGCCCACGGGCACGCTCCGGGACTGTCCCACACGTGCCAACAGAACAGCCTCTTGGGAACACATCTCGCAGCAACACCCCTGGTTTCAGAGAAACCATGTATTGCAAAAACGCTCAGAAGAGGGACACAAGTGTTTCGGGAAGCTTCAGCTGCAGTCTGGCATTGTACAGCACACAGAATAAGAGCCCAGCCAGAAAGCCATCTTCGAATAGAATGAAAATAGAACCTTTTTCACTGAATAATACCTTATTTTGGCATGTATGTTTGTTTACTTCAAAGTTATTTGTAAAATGCATGGTGGAGTTTGACCCCAGAGAAGTGAAAACAAGCTATCTGAACTCCAGGTCACTTCTTCAAGAAAGTAATATCGTAAGTGATGAAAGCCTTGCCGGCTAATCTAAAGTCGTACAAGTTTTCTTGCTCTCAAGCTGACATTAAAAATCTTGCAGGTGCAAGACTGCAAAGCTCAAGAAGTTAATGAGCACAAAGACCACTCAGGCATCTGTAGGGTTTAATTGTTTTTAGAGCATGCACATTTTTACCAGCCACTCATCACTTCATAAATCCAGGAGAGCTCTTCTCTCATTCCTGAAGTTGAACTGTCTTACTTTTCTGCGCATACTTTCCTCCCCCTTTCAAACAAAGCTGTTCTGTTTTTCACAGCCCTACTTCTTCTCGAGGACTGACTCCTCCACACACTTTTCCTCGCAGTTTACACCAGGGAAGTTCTGCCTGGGAGTTATCGGGATCAGCCAGGGAGGAGGGGGAAGGGAAGCGCTATCAGGAGTGCTGGGGGAGGTCAGGAATCTATTCATTTCATATTCACCTCCAGAAAAGCGGCAGAATAAAAGAAAACATTTGATCCAGCAGGCAAACAGAACATTTAGCCAGTTGTTAGAAGTGATAAAACACAGGGGCTGGGGAGCTCATCCTATGCCTCTACTCATCACCCACCTCAGCGTTAGCATCGCTCCCGTCATTTTGCCACATCGGAACAGAAATTAGCCCCAAAGGGCCACACTGTCACAGCTCAGCGAGATTTCTGCAGCTGCCTGAGAGCTCTAACAAGCTTCGGTTTGCCATCACTACTGATCAACACCAGAGCTCTCAAAGAAACGGGGGCTCTTCGAGGAAACCCACAGGTCAGACACCTCTCTGGAAGAGCCTCTCCCAAATCCAAAGGAACCAGCTACGCCACAATGCGACAGGGAGACTGACACCCACGAACCATCCCACTGCTGCCCACTGACAGTCAAGCTCTGGCTGAACGACCACGAAGACGACGGGGAGGGGGCCACGCAGCTCGAGACCCCCCGTCTGCACAACTTCCCGCTAAATGGCTTTTGTTGGGGTGCGTTTTCCCGTGTCACTAATGACAATTAATGATGCTTGAAAAGCTAAATCAGAAGAAGCGACTACAGAAACATTCCGCTCCCAACAACACCTATTTTCTTCCATGTGCACAGATCTTCTCTGAAGGACTTTCGAGGCGACCAGCTCTGAATCACCACTCTCTGAAGGGCGAGGATTCCTCCTTTGTCTTGTTTTCTTACCTCTCGCTCGTATTTATCGCCAACCCAAAATGAAACAAACACTTCTCTTTTGAGGCTCTGACCAGGACAGCAGCAACAAAAGGATGGCTGAATGCAGGAACAAGTGTTATTGTGGCTCTCTACGACCCTCACTGTTCCTGGCATGAGCAGCACCAGATGCACGATGAATGGCCGGGTGGAACAGCACCGCGGAGGAACCTACCCCAGGAAATGAGACACCTGGGGTCCAGCTCTCGGCTCCTCCGCCCAGGTCGCAGCCAGCCAGCCCCTCTGGTTGTCAAAGCAGAAGAAACAAAGGAACCTCGGGGAACCGTTAGATTCTGCAATGACTGAGGACCACAGCAGAATTTTAAATCTCTGCTTACCAGACACTTAGATCCCCTGGTGACTCCTGCAAAATCACTGCGGCAAGGGCAGAGTGCAAACGGGGCAGACAAAAGGGAAGGTGGGCAGCAGTTTCCATGAATCCTACCTATTCTGCCATAATATTTTGAGTCTACCACCAAAAGAAGGCTCTGTCTGGCACCAAGACTGCAAAACAAAACACCCAAACCAGAAATCAACACCCTGACCAAAATGATAAATGAAAGGCAGGCTCCTCAGAGCATCAGATAGCATGTACCATGGAAAAAACAAGAGCTAAGTTGCAACATCTTTAAATTTATGTAATCAAAACAATGAAACAGCAATTAATAATGAACACTTTGATAATACAGACAACCAGCTTTGGGAACAACCTTTCCACTGGCCCAAAGGGTTTTTAAATAAGACCTTCCGTTCTGTATCTCAGGGTTACCCAAAGTGTTGGTTAGTTTTACTCTCCCTACAAAAAACGGCGGTTTGTAGGGCTGCACTGGTGGATGACAGCATTGCTACGGGAACTCCAAACAGCACTGTGGGGCACCATGCACCTTCCCCTGCAGAGGGAAGTTTTGACTCAACACTGACTAACCACGGTGTACTTTCTAAGCCTGGAACAACCATTCCCTAAAAAATAGAACAGGAAAACAGCCACAGGTGAAGTGACCCATCCCAGGAGAGGTGGTTAGTTGGTCACAGGGCCGGAAACACGTGCCCGACTGCCATCCTCCCGATGGCTCCTCCATCTCTCGATCTTGCTCCCTCACCCACGGGCTCAGCCCAACGTCTCACCTGTGCAGCTCGTCGTCAGAGGGAGAGTACTTGGAGGTGACATCCGCGAGGTCACCAAAGATCTGCTTGCTGTAAACAGTGAGCGAGGAGAGCAGGATCAGCTCCTGCCACGTAGAGCTGAGCAGGCAGGTATAGTCCTTGATGGAGAGTTCGCAGAAGAACGGCAGCTTCTTGATCCAAGCAATCTGCCTGAAAAGCAATTCATCCGCCAGACGACACAACAACGCAAACAGCTCTGCCTGAGTCACTTTATACCTGCAGGCACAGTTAATACGAAGGCATAAAAACAATTAGCAACATCGAATGACATCATCTGACGAGGCACTTGAAAAGCAAGGCAAGGGCCACAGGAATTTGTGTTTGAGTGCCCAGCATGCTGGTGGCCAGGGTGTCACCTGGCGATGGGAGACGTGACGGCCAGCACCCACCCTGCCCGGTCGGGGGCTGCGAGGGGAACTGGCCCAACCCCTGGGGTCACCCGCCCCACCAGCACCCACCCTGCCCGGCCACTGGGCAGCTCAGCCTCAGAAACAGCTCTGCAGCTCTTGCCAAAGGATTGACTACCCAGCTTTTTTCCACCCATCTGTGTTTTTCCAGCTATCGTGCTTATTATGGGGCCTTTTGTACAGTTAACGCAATCTCAGGGCTGAAACCCACCGAACCCCACTCCCACACCGGCTCAGCCGGCCATGGAGCCTGAAGCCCCACGCGAGGTCCGTGCACGCCAGCTCCAGCCCCACGCAAGGGCACAGGCCACCCAGGGGACACGGTCTGGTTTGCTGCTTGCACTACGGCGGCATCTTCTCCCAGGGGACGTGCTCCTCGTGCCGATTGGGCCGTGAACGCACGCGCCCATCCGCCCCCCTCG